TCACTGGCTGAGCGTGGTGCTGACAACACCAAATCAAGGGTTGAGATCCCCTTACCGGTCAGCTTTAAAAAAAAATAAAATAAAATAAATAAAACATAATATCGAGTGGAAAAAGTAGAAACAAAACAAGTCTATAGCACAATTTAAAAGATATAATTTATCTTTCATGTCAATTTAGGAGAAACACAAAACAACACTATCTGGTCTATAAGTGTATCCAAGTATGCATGAACATTAAATGTGTTGGGGTTTGTCCATGGGGTACTGGGAGGAAATAAGAGTGCTGTCAGGGAATTAAAAGGAAAACTATAAAAGAAAGCAAAATAGACATATGGACGAATGACTGAGACAAGAACTGCACCTAACTCTGCCCCTTGCAAAAGAGTCCATATTAGAGGGTGATCTCTTCTCAGAAACCTTCCCCAAACTGAGTCCCCAACACTCCGTTCCTCTCTGAGCCACAAGCAGTCACTCTCTCCTCTCATTTCCTGCCAATGCCTTCTGCCACCACCACTAAAGCACAATTGCACTAGATTGAGGCTGTGTCCATGACTGCCTCCCCAACCACAGCAGGAACATTTCAAGGGCAGGGAACAAAGTTTGTGCCTCAATTTCCTGGATCTGAGAAGGGATATTATGATAAAAGTATCTACCGTACAGAACTGTTGGAGGATTAAATTAGTTAATTCATGTCCTGTGCTTAGTGCAATGATTCTGGCACATTGCAAGCATGGAATAATTGTTGGTGGCTATTACTATTATTAATAATATCATTATTATTATTGGGATTGGCCTCATGACATTGGGAAAGGCCTCACTCCAGTTCTTCCTCCTTCAGGAAGCCTTTCCTGATTGTTCCCTATGAAGCTCTGCCTGTCCCGGTGGCACCTCCATTATAACCTCTGTCCCAGGTGTGGACACTGCCTGCTCACCTGTTGGTCTCCTCCACTGGGCCGGGAACTCAAGGACCGGAACCAGGATTGGTTTGTCTTAGGTTCCTCAGTGCCTGGCATAGCAGCTGGTATCCCTTGGGCCTCTGAAACCGTCTGCCCACCTGAATGGAATGCAGGCTGGGAGGGCAGATAAGGCAGGTGTATAATTAACGAATATATGGCGGGCTGTATATGATAACAGCTTGGTGACCAGGGTAGAAACCATACATGCTGAGTCTCGATCTGGTGCCAACTCACCTCTTGCCTCTTCCCTACCACTCCCCTGAGTGCTGCCTGCATTCCAGGCTCCTGGTCAGCACACCTGTCCCAGGAACTACCTACAAGCCTGAGCCTGAAGCCAGGTAGGGCCCTCTCCTCAGAACATCCTACCTTCCCCTTCCTCCATCCTCATTGCAGCAGGTGATGCTGATGTGTGGGAAACATCCACGACTAAACCATCCCAGAGAACAAAGGATTTCTGATCTTTGTGCAAGTGCTGTGGATCCCTCAGCCTCTGATAAAACTTATGGACCCATGTCCAAAATAGTTATTTTTTCTTTTCTTTTCTTTTTTTTTTTTTTTTTT